CTGCAAAGACAAAATTTCTGAATACAATGAAACGAAACTTGGGTTCCCCTGGATGGTAACCATTCTCTCTCCATCATGCCCTGTGTTTTTCTAGCCTACCAGTCTTCTGTATTTTTCCCTCCGCTTTACCTCCATGACTCCAATGAACGGGGTTCACTGCCAGTTTCATGTATCCTAGGTGCTAGACAATTTTAAGACAGTAACAACTGTTAGTAAGACTTTAGAAAACTTAACCACCATAACATGGAAGAGCAGGGTGAATCAGACCACAAAAGAATGAAGACACTGTGAAAAAGGTTCTGGATCTCTGCAGTGTGGGAGTTTTGAGCACAGAACAAAAAGGTCTATATTAAGGGGCAATGCACAGGAGAGGGAATATGGGTAAGGGGCAAATGACTTCTTTTTTGCTACAATGTTTCTAAAACTTTAGTCTCAGTAAGTATATTTTCATCACTGCTCTTAGCATCAATTTGGTTTCAGAACTAAATAGACAGTATCTTTTTCCTCCTAAAAACATTATTTCCTTTCCTATTTCTAAAATGCCTAAAATGTCTTCAACAAAAATTAGTTGAAAGCTTAAAAACAAGTATAACTGGAACATTTACAAGACAATGTTAGAGGTGTTTCAGATTTGTTTCCTTCAAATAGGATGTTCTGACAGAGAAAGGTGGTCTAAGACAGTGGATATTTGCAGGAAGGAAAAGTTATGAATGTGAAGAGGCAGAAAGGAAAAGAAGGAAAACAGTAAGATACTAAGCTAGAAGACTACATAGTTTTGATGTAGACTGACCGTACCTCCCAATTCCTTTGAGATAAATTTCCAACTTCTTCTTCACATTACCATTTTGACAAGGCCAATATACTCTCACTTTCATTCCCTGTTGTAGCCCTCGATGATCTACACACAAAACTACAACAATATATGCTCACAAATCTCAGAAATGGCCACGTCCTTTCCTTGCTCCACTTTTGATTATCAGCAAATCCTGTTCACTTAATGTTTAAAATATGCACAAAATATGGTGCCTTCCACGACCTCCACGGCTATCCGTCCTGGATTACTTTAATAGCTTATCTGGTCTCCCTCTACCCCAGTGCCCCCAACAATCAATCTGCCACAAAAGGTAACAGCCAGCTTTTACCTTTTAATTTTAAGTAGGATCAGGTGATTCCTCTGCTAAAAATCTTCAAAGGTTTCCTATTTCATTCAGAGTAAAACTGAAAATTATTACAATGTGCTATAAATATCCTATACAACCTCTAATGAATCCTCGGCCAAATTACCTCTGACCTACACCTGCCTCCTCTAGTTTATATATACCACTCTAGGGACCACCACAGAAGCACCAGATTCAGGGCCTTTGCATTTTGTCTTTACCTGTTCTTCCCCTCTCATCTTTCACAGGACTCACTCACTTCTTTTAGATCTCTGCTCCAGTATCACCTTTTCAGTGAAATCTTCCCTAACCACTCTTTCCACAGCTACAACACCTTCATTCCTCTTTTCTACTTTTTCCCACCATTTTCTAATACTGTATGTACTTTACTTACTGTTTACTGTCTTGTCTTTTTCTACAAGAATGCAAACTACACTTTAGCGGACATTTTATTATTATTTTTTGCAGTTTTGTTTACTACCGAATCACCAATACCTAAGTACAGGGTCTGTCTTATGTTATGTGCTCAATAAATATTTACAAAATGAATGAATAAATGTCTACCTATCCAAATACTACACAGATTACAAGGCAGGACCAATGTTTTTGGGGTTTTGCTTTTTTTTTTAATTTTGAGAGAGAAAGAGAGATTGATTTGTTGCTCTACTTATTTATGTATTCACTGGTTAATTCTTGTATGTGCCCTGACTGAGGATCAAACCCCCAACCTTGGTGAATGGGGATGATGCTCTAACCAACTAAGCTACCCAGCCTGGGTGGCAAAACCAATGCTTTTTAAATTTTTTAATCTCTCCAATCTCTGAAGTACACAGATTATTTGGCACACAATTCATGTTCAATACATATTAAATTAACCAACCATTTACCTGATTCCTAACAAAGAAAAGTAGTATATGAGTATGTAAAAATATTTTATTTTCTGTATGGCTGCTGGTCAGTGCACATTAGTAGAAACCAGTGATGAAAAAGTGTCTCATCTTGGCTTGCATATTAACTGAAAAAGTTTTTCTCTTGTTGTTACTATTTCTTTTAAAGCAAATGACTGAGCCAAACACCATATTTTTAGATAGGTAGCTTTTTCACTAGAAAGTGTAATAATATGAGAAATTAATTATAACTAGTAGGGGGAAAATATACAACAAACTATAAAGTTTATGTATGCTCTTACAAATCTCACAGATAAAAAAGTAATAATTTCACAATGAGATGAGTCTACTCTAGGGACATTTTCCCAAATTCTACTTTTGTAAATAGTGTTAAATTTAGTAATGCTCATTGCACAGGAGGGTGAAAGACGATCTAACCAGTGCCAATGCTGCCAGGTCTCATCAAATACAATCTTTGCTGAATGGGGAATTTTACTGCTACAAAGTGGTTCCAATCACTGCCCCAGAGCAATGGACCTCTGCAAAGTTTGTTACTGCAAAACTCTTGAAATCTACATGTGTATCAAACATTAATGTTAGGCCCATATATAATTACATTATAACCACACAGATGATGTGATTAAAAAATAATTTTAAAATGTTACTGGACAGAGAGTACCTTTGTCATGTTCTTATTCATGGATATTAAAATATCCAACTTCTATAACATGGGAGAGACTACAGAATTAACTGATGTTAAAAAAGGAATCCTCATAGCCCAAAAGACTGGGAACAAGAGCCTTAGAGCTTTCAAAGGTATCATTCTACATATGATCTTTATCTTTCAGAAGTAACATTGCTGAATGGATAAAGAGGCATTTTTTCCCCCATGCTGGTACTCACTCCTAATTGGCAGCATAAAAGAAAAGTAACTTGGGTCTGAGTTGTGACTATTCTACTACCTAGCTTTTAAACCATGAACAAAACACTTTACTTCCATAAGCTTCAATTTCTTCACATATAAAATGAGGATGAATCCATCTCCCCCTAAATTCTTTATTAAGAGCTGTTACAACATAAAGTCAGGATGGATGTTCCATTATAAAGTATGATATAAATATTACTATATAGTAGAATACATGGAGGTAATACGTGACTGAAATGACTAAAATTCTGACTTGACCATGAAGGGGCCCTAAATGCTAAGCGAACGAGTTTTTAGACCTGACAGGAAATAATGAGCCATTAGAGGTTTTAGTGAGAAAGATGTGGGATGTTGGTCCTCTGTGTACATATAAAAACCAATGAGGTAATTTGCAACTTCAAAGAAATCTGATGGCACTGTGAAAGGATGGCTAGGAGTAAAAAGAACTGAGCTATTCTGCAGTAGTCCAAACAAAAGATAAAAACTTGGACTAGCGCTCTGACAATAAAATAAGAGTGAAGTGACTGCAAAAGGATCCAAAGGACTGCATTAAAGAGTGAGAAGGAAAAATTTTTAACGCCAGCAAAGAGGTAGCCAGTACACAAGAAAACAAATTTCCCTTTATTTGGTAATTAAAAAAGACCGATTTAGACGTGTGAGCCTGTAGATATGAGAGTCAGCTGCTTAGGACAGTTGAATAAGTTAGAGAAGCATGAGAAGAGTAAAGGGAGACATGAATAAAGAGCTTGGAGAACTCCAAAATCAGAAGGGTCAGCAGAAGTGCAATCAGGAGGAGAATAAAAAGAATGTAAGATGAGAGGAAAGAGGAAATTTATTACAAATGCCCATACTTACAGAATTATTAAAGATGAAATATAAATGATGCTTAATTTTGACATCTGATTTAGAAATAAACACTAAGGTTTTTGACTTAAGTTTCATTCAGGAAAATAGTATTTTCCTCTGATGAAAAATGTGTGAGCTCCCACAATAAGCCTTCAACATCTCCCCAGTTAAAAGTTTCCAAGTTGATTAGTTGTGTTCTTTCTTCATATAATTGAGACCTTGTTGCTTTTAAGTATTAACAGTTAAAAATGATGCTGATAAAGCAAAAGGCAACAATAGACAGTGAAGATCATTTTCTAAAGAGAAGGAAGACACTTGCTTTTGTTTTAGAATATGTTTAATTCTACTAAACCATGGTATATTTTATTTAAAGTAGCAATGAGATATGATTTTCCTTAAAAATAGCTTATTTTAGCATACAAGTTTAATTTCAGGTATGTGGGTCTTTTCATCATCCAGAACACCTTATTACCTAGCAACACTAGACAGAGTTGGCATTAAGTCTTATAATTTTGCCACTACAAGTAACTCATTTGCCCTTACCAAACCAGAAATCTGGAAGTCACCCTAGAGCTTCCCTTTCTCTAACCTCCAATGATTAATCATTCACCACAGTTAAACAGCTCTTCAAAATGTTCCTCCACCACCATTTTCCCTTGGCCAAGTATTAAGCCATTAACTAAACCAAAAGTGCCTCAAATTGTAATGATCAGATTTGGGGCTCATGTCTAGATGTTTAACATCTTGTAATATATTCTGTCCTTGCAGTACTAAAAAGATGCAAAGACAGCATGTCAATGCAAAATCAAAGTGCTCCTTGAACAAAGCACTCACCTCTTTACAATGTCAATCTATCATCTTATCTAGGAACAAGTGCCTAGTTATTCCAAAATGCTAAATTCTTCTACAACCCATGAGCCTGGGTTAGATTTCCACCCCCGTTTTTACTAACATCAGTGGGTAAGAAAGTCTTAAGTTCTCAGAAATACAAAAGCAGCAAAGCCTTCATCTCAATAATGTATTGATAAAATGTTCATAAGATCCTGATTACAGTAAAATAAAGAAACCTATTTACATAATTATTATGAGTTTATTTTATAAAGTTTGACTTAGTCAAAAATCACTAATTTAGCATTTTGCTATAATCTAAAAATTAAATGAAATTTTAAAAAGCAAGGCAGTTACCTGAGGAGAGTCAAAAGGATATCGACTACTAAACTTAAATAGAAGTTGAAATTTTTCCCCTTCATATAAGGTACCTGGTGCACCTTCCATGTCTACAATCCACCTAGAATAGAGAAAACAACAACAAAAAATTAAAAACTTCAGATAAAAGAAATTGGGGTGAAAAGGAGAAAAGGGAACACCAAGAACTTCCTCTGTGCCAGGCATCGGGATAGGAGTCATTCATGTGTGATAGCATACTTCTTCCTCCCAACAATCATGAAAGAAGGCATTCACACTCCTGGCCATATTCTCTTCTCTGCCACTCAAGGGTTAAATAACCAGATCAAGGTCAGACAGCTAGCAAAGGACAGAGCCAAATTTTAACACAGGTCTGAAAAAAACAAAATAATGAATAAATGAAAAACAAAACAAAAAAGGCCAAATTAAAACCCCAACTCAAGGAGCTGACACAAAAGCCTGTGCTCTTCCTACTCAATTTATACTATCTTATTTTTTTCAAGACTATTTCTACAATGGCTAAAAAGATTTTATAAATAACATCAAGCAAATTAACTGCCATTCTAGTATCAATTATTGTAGAAGCAATGGGGGAAGGAGGTATCAGCAATGACTACAGAGAATTGCAGTGGTCTGACTAACTTTCTCATCAGCATTCTAAGGAAGACTGGGAAAAAGAAAGCTAAGCAGATATCGGTCCACTTACTCTGATGGGTATTTAAAGATCTATATGGCCTTTCCTTTGTCTCTCATTATGTTTCAACTGTTTAATAAAACCCAGAATAGATTTCTACATTTTCTATGCAAGCTTACTCAGTTTCCATATATAAAAACCATGAATATAAAATTGAGGTATAATTAGGAACTCACTCTTATGACCTTGGTCCACTTTGCTTCCAAATGCTGCGCAATCATCTTTTCATCATAATCTCTATTTTTCTACTCCCGCTTTCCTCATTTCCTCATCTTTTTTTTAAATAAGAGGGTAGTGTACAGAATATATCTCTGCCACTTACAGTAATTATTGTACACATGACCAACTCCTTTAATCTTATGCTTTTCAGGTATAAAAATTTATTATTTTAAATACAAAAAACAAAAGGAAGTAAGATTGAGAATGCAGTCTGGGAGTTCTATTCATCACCCCATGTAGTATGTTAAAAGTATATAAAATAATAAATATACTGATTCTCTGAGAGCAAAACCAGCTAATGCAAACAGACTTTTAAGAGCATGACTACTCATTTTCAGAACACATGCTGAATACCATAAGCGGTAACAAACATGACCACAGACCCAGGAGGCAGTATTTTGCAGTGAAATTAGATAGATCTCCCCTTAACTATCTGTGTAAGCTGTTTTACCTCTCCCATTTTAACTATTTCAATTGTAAAACAGGTATTTCCAAAGAAAGATATGCATTTCAAAGTGTTGCTGGAACGATACATACATTACATCTGCAAAAAATCCCAGCACATTCCTGACATCAGAGCCAGAACATAGTAAATTATATACAATGCAAAAGCTGCACTAAAAAACAAAATATAAAACCTATTCTTGCCCTGGCTGGTGTGGCTGAGTGGTTTGAGTGCCAGCCTGTGAACCAAAGGGTCGCCGGTCAATTCCCACTCACGGCACATGTCTGGGTTGCAGGCCAGGTCCCCAGTATGGGACGCGTGAGAGGCAACCACACATTGATGTTTCTCTCCTTCTTTCTCCCTTCCTTCCTCCTCTCTAAAAATAAATCAATAAAATCTTTAAATACAAACAAAAAAACCTATTCTCTTTTCCAATTATGTAGGTCCTTCCTAGACATCAAAATCCCTTTTTAATCTCGCTACCCATTCTGCAGAGAGATATTCTAAGGAAAACTCAGGACTTCCTGGTGCCCTTTCATTCTATTTCTAAGATAATTTTTAGGACATACAATGTACCACATATTTTCAGGTGATCTACCCAAGCACAGCTTTTAGATAGCTAAGTAAAAACCTCAGTAATCCTTCCGATAGCTGGGTAATAGATAAAAAAGGCATAATTTCCAATTGTGCAGTATAATTTTAAATACTTTACTAATTAAAAAGTAAAATATATTCACTATAGAAAATTCAAAAAAGTACAAACACAACAAAAATCATCCATAGATAATAACTATAAAAGTTTTTTTGGTACATTTCATGCTAGTCATTTTGCAGTTTATCAGATCAAATCATCAATGTTTATGATTTTAAACACAAGCACGCACCCCAGAGGAAGAATAGGAGCAGTCCCAGTTCTTAACTTCTTGTGAGTAGTTATTGCTCTATGACTCTAATGTTTAATATGTATTTTTCTTTCACACATTTATGGCTCCTAACCAAAGAAACAGCCATCTCTAGTCCTCTCTGTAGGAATAACTAGCTTAGTTGGGTATATTAAGACAGGATACATACCAATAAAACCTAGAGGATTTTCAAGGGTAATTATGACTACACAAAATTTTTGCAGTATCTGCTGACGAGAGACTAAAACTCAAGGGATGCTGTTTCACTATACTACCTCGAGAAACCATTTCCCTATTATTGACATTTATACTGTTTCCCAATTTTCCCTAGAAATAATGTTGAAATGAGTACAGGTAACCCTGGAAAAACATGGGTTTGAATTGCTCAGGTCCACTTATATGTGAATATTTTTTCAATAAACGTGTAGTACTGTACATATGTTCTTTTCCTAATGATTGTCTTAATAACATTTTTTCTCTAGCTTACTTTAATGTAAGAATACAGTATATGATACATGTAACATATAACATGTGTGTTAATTATTTACATTACTGATAAGGCTTCCAGTCAACAACAGGCTATCAGCAGTTAAGTTTCTGGGGATTCAAAAGTTGTATGTGAATTTCTGACTACATGGGGGTTGGTGCTCCTCAACGCCACATTGGTCAAGGGTCAACTACAGTTCTAAAGTCAGTCTTTCAATATCTCTGTTCCTTAAAAGAGCACAGGGGCTTATTAGGTCAAAGGATATGATACTCATGTTTTCAGTGGTCTTAATACATACTACCATAATGTCTTCCAAAAAACTTAACATGCTTTCATCATCATCCTTATCCATTATCCATCCACATCCCATATAATCCCATTTAACTATTCTAAGATCTGATATAAAAGACTATTTTTATATCCTGGATGATAGGCCAAAGATAATAAAAATTTTGTGATTCATTTACAATGTTATTTTAAAAGAAAAATTACTGCCTGACAAAATCTCTAAATGAAAGGTTTATTAAAAAATGCTGTTCTCAAAAGAAATATCAACAAAGTGGCAACCAACCAAATGGGAGAAAGTATTTGCAAATGATACCTCTGACAAGGGGTAAAATATAGAAAGAATTCACACAACTCAATAACAAAAGAAGAAACAATCCAATTAAAAAATGGGCAGAGGATCTGAGCACTTTTCTCAAGAAGACGCATGGATGGCTAACAGATACGTGAAAAGATGTTCAACTTCACTAGCAATTAGGGAAATGCAAATTAAAAACCACGATGATATACTGCCTCATACCTGTTCGAAGAGAATAGAATAGAATAGAATTAGAATAGAATGCCTATTATCAGTAAGACAAGAAATTAGTGTAGGAGAGGTTGTGGAGAAAAAGAACTCTCATACACTGCTGGTAGGAATATAAATTGGAACACCCTCTAGAAAACTGTACAGAGGTTCTTCAAAAAATTAAGAATAGCGTTACGGCCCTGACCAGCATGGCTCAGTTGGTTGGGCATCCTTCTGCAAAGCAAAAGGTTGACAGTTTGACTCCTACTCAGGTCACATGCCTAGGTTGTGGGTTCAGTGCCCAATCGAGGCACAGACAAATGACAGCCAACTGATGTTTCTCTCTCACATCATATTTCTCTCCCTCTCTTTCTCCCTCCCTTCCGTTCTCTAAAAATACATAAAATCTTTAAAAAAAAAAAAAAAAAAAAAAAAGAATAGTTACCATATGACCCAGCAACCCCCTTTCTGGGTATCTAAACAAAACATTTGTAAAGATACATGTACTCCTATGATCACTGCAGCATCATTCACAGTGGCCAACACATGGAAACAACCTAGAAGTCCTTCAACTGGTGATTGGATAAAGAAAATGTGGTATGTATTTATATACAATGGAATATTACTCAGCTGCAAAAAGATGAAATATGCCATTTGAGACAACATGGATGATCTTGAGAGCATCACGCTAAGTGAAATAAATTTTATGGAAAAGGACAAGAATCATATGATTTCACTCACATGTGGAATATGAAACAAAAAGCAACAAACAAACAAAAAACAAACAAACAAACTTACAGACACAGACAACAGCATGGTGGTTACCAGAGGGGATCTAGGGTGAGGGAGGATGAAGAGGGTAAAGAAGGTCAAATATTTGGTGACAGGAAGAGACTGGATTTTAGGTGGTAGAATATATAGATGTTATACTATAAAGCTGTGTACCTGAAATGTATATGATACTATTAATCAATTGTTACCCCTATAAACTTAATTTTTTTAAAAAGGTAATACTATTTTGGGAGTTATACTCTGTGATATACTACTTGATTATTTGTGAAAATGTAAAACATTCCTTTAACTTTCTATAAATCACTGTGTTGTGTGGTTCCCCTCTATCCCCCAAAAGAGTAAAAGTGGAAAGAGGAAGCAATAGATTAATACCAATTTCCTTGAGAAGCATAAGGCTGGCTGTTATAGGATATTCTGAGGTAGGTTAACAAAGGAAGAGAGGAAAAAGATGAAAACAGAGTCTGATCCATCTGTTTAAATATATAGAACAAATGCCATATACACGAAATGTGTGCTCCATTTCCAAATTTGATATAAATGAAAAATGAGAGCCACAAAACTACATGGAAGGACCCTAAATGCCTATCACTAAGTAAAAGAAGCCAATCTGAAAAGGCAACATAAGGTGTGATTCCAACTATATAACATCCTAGGAAAGGCAAAACTACAGAAACAATAAAAAAGATCAGTGGTTGTCAGGGACTGGGGGGCTAGAGAGAGAGGGAAGGATGAATATGTGGTAAACAGGTAATTTTTAGGACAGTGAAAATACTCTGTAAGATACCGTAATGACATACATGTCATTATACATTTGTCCAAGTCCACAGAAAGTTCAACACCAAGAGTGAATCCCAATGTAAAGTTACAGACTTTGGGTGATTACGATGTATCAATTAGATTCATCAACTGTAACTAATGTACCACTCTGGTGGGAACTGTTGATAATGGTGGGGGCCATGCATGTGTGGGAGCAGAGGGTATATGGGAAATTTATCTTCTGCTCAATTTTGCAGTGAACCTAAAAATTCTCAATCTGTTGGGAATCCAGGAATGTTTAAAGAAATTGTTATAGAGCTAGAGAGGTGTATTACATTTTCAAACATAATATATCTATCCAAACATCAATATATTCATTCTCCGTATTCCTGTTCTTAAAACTTGAATCCTGTATTAATGACTCAAATGTCAATGTGAAAGGCAACCAAAATCATTTCTTCTGAAAGGAACACTATGTCCTTCCATTGTATGAATTTTGGTCACTTTTACTCTCTAGACCTAGATTACCACTAAATATTTGAATGGTTATATCTGTCCTACAAGTTGGTCTATAGTATACTTCTATCTTGTTGGCTTCTCTCCCTTTTATGTTTTTGGAGATTTTTTTTTTAAGGGAATGGTCAATTATTTTAAATTTCCGCCTATTTCAGAACATTTACCCTTATATAACAGAATTATTTAAATCAAAGGAATGGTGAAGAATTGACCATACTGAGTTGTGAGATCTTAGAATGATACCCTTAAAAAACATTTCAAACTAATTAAAATACTCATTTTTAAGAGAAGGGACCCGTATCTCTCTATTCTTTTTGGTATCCTACCTGGGAAGAGCCTTCTATTCCACTCCCACGGAAGAAGCTGAATTAGAATACTTGTGTTCCCTTCCACCCTTCATTTTTTCATGCACAGAGTAAGTGAAGTCTATTAACTATATTTACCTCTTAGTGGGAAGAGAATATGATGAAATATGAAAATAATTCTGTATTTTAAAAAATAAGTATACATTCATACATTACATTGATGAAGAAACAAGTACTTCGAAAATTAAATACTTACTGTGTAATTGAATTTTGAACACTCTTTTCATTTAAAGTCATCCCAGGAGGTGGGTCATTTTGCAAAGCCAACAGTTCTTTCTGCAGTCGTTTCTATAAAAAAAAAATAATAACTTGTACTTTTTTGTTATAATATCCTTCTAGTAATAGTCTAAAATCCTTGATTGAATTTCTTCCAAATACTTATACCTTTTCCTTTACAAATATCTTACATCTTCTATGTATCTCATGTATAAGCCTAACATTCAAATTTTCAATTGCCTGTATTATAATTCACAACCTATTGTGAAAGTATTTCTAAATATATTTGTAAAAATTGATGCTGTGAAAAGGTATGAAAAGCAGCCAGCTACCTATAAAACTTCACAGCTACTTCATTGAGGTTATAAGGTCTCAGCCTTGGTTATAAGCGCTGAGTTTCATTAGTGCTTCCTTTACTGCTTTTCAATGATAAATACCATAGCTCTCCGTAATACTTAAAGAACATGTCAATTCAGGCAGACAAGCTTTCCAGGGGAATTATACAAGTAATCTGCCATGAAAAAAGCCTTTTGAAAAAGTCTGAAATAGTTTTAGCTTATAATTTACAGCCCATATTTGTTTTCTTAAATATGATTATCTGCATATAACTTAATCTTCCAACACCAGAATGGAACCTATCAGGGCCCAAGATATGTAAACTTATTTTTCCACATACTAGGTGCCCTAAAATGGCTATGTGTTTGCATTTTTGTTTATATAGCTTTTATTGTCAACTCTCCCACTATTATCATTAGTAGACACTGTTAGTATACAACAAAGAAAACAAAAGCCCAGCTCATAATTTATGGGTTTAAAAACCAAATAATCTATGCTATCAGAATTGTATGCAACATTACAAAGATTCTGAATAAATGTCTTTTCTTGGATTAAAGTAGACAAGCATGAGTATCTGTTCAGAACTCAAGAATTCACTGCTTAAAAGTTATTATCTGCTTTTTCTAGACAGTCAAATATTACTCTCTTATAGCAATGTTTCTAGATCTTTTCAATATATGACACCTTTAAATAAGCTCAATGTCATCCAACACCACTACTGTTTAGAAACTCCTCCCCTTTTTTGTTGAGAATTACTGTAATAAAATTTGAATAAATGGCTCCTTAAGATGCCAAGAATGAAAACTTTTTCTCAGATCTTTCAATATAGTAATTGCTAGTAACAATGAAAATGAGCTATGAACTATTTGGAATTTCTCACTCTCATTCTGACCCCACTCCACATTACGCAGCAAGAGTTTATTTATTTTGTTGACTATATCACATTATTTTGGTGTAACAAACCCCAACTCATCTTCAGTGCTGCCATTATATTGGCTAACATTTCCTGCTTCATGTGCTCTTAAACCATATTATACACAGCCTCATGGAAACTAAGGAAATTAGAACCAATTTCTCCAAGTCCTCATAAAATAAAAGTATAGCCCAACAACAGGTCCATAGACACTTTGTGTAGCACAGTGCTAAATCATGGAGTTTCATACCAATGATGTGATCTTTGGCTCTTCAGCTCCTAATCATTGCTTTTTCAGAGAGCTGAAGATGATGGATATGACTGTATAAAAATGTACTAAGATGATTGTTTTAAAAAGTGAACATTATTGTTTAAGTTGAAGAATACCGCATCAAATAAAATACTTCTAGTAATTAAAAAAAAAAATTAAATAGCATCCTGCCATGGTGAGGATGCTCAGTTGGCTCAGTTGGTTGGACATCATCCTGTAATTGAATGGTTGTAAGTTTGATCTCCAGCCCAGGCGCACAGGGGAAGCAACCAATCGATGCTTAGCTCTTGCATTGATGTTTCTCCCTCTCCCTTCCTCTCTATCTAAAAGCAATGAAAAAATGTCCTCAGGTGGGGATTTAAAAAAAAAAAAAAAAGTTAAAAAAAGCACCCTAAGAAGGCGATTCATATCTAAACAAGTTCAGCTTCTAAACTAATGCATTTCTCTAAGTACTACCCCAAACTAATATATGTTAAAACCAAGACGCAAAAAATTTAAATGATTCTCTTGTGGTTATAAATAAAAATGGGAACAGAATATATCTAGTAATACATAACAGGACATACTGACCCGATTCCTTGACTTGGAAAGCTTTATTTCTATTTGGGGAAAAGACGGTCAATTAATAACAAAACAAGCATATGGTATATTAAAATCTGATGAGAAATGGAACAAGTTAAAGGGGGAGTTAGGCCTCACATTTTGGAAAGTTTTATCTCAAATTGACAGTTTGAGAAACTATTCTAAAAGATAGAAATCCTTGTTTAGCGTGAGAAGAGATAGAAATGAGAAGGAAAAAAAACAATAAAAACGTAGAGCTATGTATATGCCAATGGTTGCAAATGTAGCAGTGCATAAAACGGCCAACGGTTTTCTCCAATCTCATCTAATGTAACAAACAAAAGGTGATAAGTTAACAAATTGGGCAGCAACGACAGAAAAAAATTTTGGTACACCTTAATACCATGACACTAACAACCACTATTTCCACCCCCCAATAATATCAAGAAACAATTATAACAATAGCCATTTATTTCTCTTAGATGAGGGTGAGAGGCTAAGCAACAAAATTTTATTTTAAAACAATGATTTATGCATATTAAGGAAACATTTTTCTCTCCCACTGAATTCTAAGTACTCTCTACATTCCTTAACTCCTAACAGTAACTTATTGAAACTTTCCCCCCTTAGGAAATGGAAAGCCTTCAATAAGTGGAGGTATTCATTCTTACTTTAAACTGACATCTTCAAAAATCAGATTGGGATGCAAAAAGTGGCAAGACTAAATGATTCCTGTTTTTATAGAGACCAGAGCCTAAAAAGAGATAAATGCATAAATCTGTTTATGAAAAAACAGGACTGTGGTATACTGAAAGCCAAAGAATGTGTTTCAAAGACTAAGAATTTCATTTCCAGCACAATGACAGAGTAGATACTCTAACGTATTCTATAGAAAACAAAAACAACAAAGTGAATGCAGGACCTCTAAAATTTTGCCTTTGGAGTTTCTACCAAAGGTGGGGGAGGCAAAACAGAAGAAGTCTAACAGAAGATCAACATAAAACTACAACTCCTCAGCATAAGGATGAACAAGGTAAAGGGTACAAGAGGCAACAATGAAATCTGCCTGCTGTGAATTTAGCAATAGGTAGAAGAAAAATAATTCTTCCATGAAACATCATAACCTCAAGTAGACACTTAAAGGGATTTGCAGCCTGAAATTCTTTTACGTGAGAACCTTAGGCAAGAATTTAATCAAAAGTGGTCCAAGAAATAATGCCCCAGGCTAATGACAGAAGCAAACAGAAACCCTCGGGAAATACAAGTTCTCTTGAGTCAACAATTTCACTTCTCAGAATCTAAAGATACATTAAAAAAAAAAAAAAAAATCAGTAACTACCACATGAGAAATTATACAGAAAACAATGTATGCAACACCTGATGTGATAAAAATCTAGTTTTCCTAGATCATCTTCCCTTAGATCCCCAATTAATTTACTTTATGTTCTTGTAGTACTTATATAACTGGGAGCAACTCTAAGACAGAGATCATGGTGCATTTTATTTTTGTATTCCTAGCATTTGAAACTGTGCCTAGCACATGTTTTCTGCCTCAGTAAATGTTTCAAAAAATTAATAAAGATGTTGACTCTTTCAATGTTTGTAAGAGAAAAACCTCGCAACAATATATGTCCATCAACAGGTGATACAAATTATGGCATATGTAAACAAGACTACTGCAAACATTAAGAATTATGTGGGGCATTCCAGCCAAGATGGAGGTGTAGGTAGATATACTATGCTTCCTCCCGCAACCAAAAGGAGGATAACGAGCAATTTAAAAAGAAAGAACAAGCAGAACTGCCAGAAAATCGAACTGTATGGAAGTGCTACAACCAAGGAATTAAAGAAGAAACATATATCCAGACTGGTAGGAGGGGCAGAGATGGGCAGCTGCAATGGAGAGGGCACACAAAAAGGCCGCAGCTGGAGGACCAGGGGGGTCCCACATTTGCGCGCGGCTATACCTGGAGGGAAAACTAGGGAACGAGAAAGACCATGCAACCCAGGGTTCCAGCGCAGGAAACTGAAGCCCCAGAACCTCTAACTGTAAAAACCTTTGGGGTCTGCGGTGGTGGGAGTAACTCCCAGTCTCACAAAAGAGTCTGTTGGAGGGGCCCAGGGGACCTGAGAACATACACAAGCCTACCCATCCGGGAATCAGCACCAGGCCAACAACACCTTTCAGGAAGCTGGGAAAGTGACTGAACACAGGGTGAGAGCCCAGCAAGCAGCACAGTTCTTTCTCTGACCCGCTCCCCCGACCCCAACATACAGTGCCATAATGCAGCAAAGTGGGTTGCCCCACCCTGGCAAATACCTAAGACTCTGCCCCTTACAGTAACAGGTGTGACAAGACAAAGAAATATGGCCCAAATGAAAGAAGAGATCAAAACTCCTGAAAAAGGACTAAGCAATAAGGAGATAGCCAATCTATCAGATGCAGAGTTCAACACACTGGTTATCAGGATGCTCACAGATATGATTGATAACAGTCGCAAAATAAAGCAAGAAGTGAAGGCTATACAAAATGAAATAAAGAAAAATATACAGAGAACCAACAGTGAAGGGAGGAAACTGGGACTCTAAGATATGAAATGGAAGAAACTATCAGTGGAACAATGGAGGATGCATATTTATGGGCACAGGTTGCTTCTGGGAATGATGAAACTATTCTAATATTAGATTATGGCAGAATGAAGAAACAAGAATTCAAAAAAATGAGGAGAGGCTTAGGAATCTCTGAGACAACTTTAAAGGTTCCAACATCCAAATCATAGGGGTGCCAGAAGAAGAGGAAGAGCAAGAAATTGAAAATGTATTTGAAAAAAATAATGAAGGAAAACATCCCCAATCTGGCGAAGGAAACAGGCTTGCAAGTCCAGGAAGCACAGAGTCCCAAAAAAGCTGAAACCAAAGAGGAACACACCAAGACACATCATAATTACATTACTCAAGATTAAGGATGAGGAGAGAGTCTTAAAAGCAGCA